GTGTCGAACTGCGTCTGAGCTAAGGATGACACAGAATAGAAATAGTATATAAATGATGCCTACAATCAACTGGTATCAGGTTCTTTTGGCCGCTTAGACAAATAGTAGGTCTAATCTAATAGTAGGTCACAGCCGACAAAAAGTTATAACTTGTTCATGCAAGCATTTAATAAAATTTCAAACAAATGGCTATTCATTGCAATCTATTGGCACATTAGGTGGGTTGTGGGTTGAATACGCATGTAACCGACCATATTTTATCAATTACCGTTTCTCAAATGCGCATAGCAAGTTTACACACCAACACTGTTGTTATAGATAACCTCGATAGTTTAACAAACACATGTGCACGCAGCAGAACTTGCATCTAGAATTTTTTCACGGGGTTTTATCTTCCTGTTTATCAGATATTATTCTCGCGAATTTAGCACATTAGAATGATTAATTTTATAGACTGAAAAATACGCGAATAATCCGAGTTGTAGTAAATACCAATAATAAATAGACGCGGACTTGGTAACCATCTTTTCTGCCTTAGGGCGTGGAACTCAGTATACCCAGATATGGCAGGCTCTCTGCCTATTGACGTAGCATAAACAAAACGAATTCCTTCGATACATCGCTAAATATCCTAACCATAATCGTTAATATTTATTACCTCATCATAGGTGGAGGTGTCGGTAACATTAATTTCAATTCTGTTCAAATGCCTTGATTTTTTTCTTTCTGTATGTTTTATCCTGTAAGTATTGTACTGGTTATTTTATCATAGATATTTTTGATCAATATTCATGTTCTACTGACCGCCAACTAAACCACAGATGTAGAAGTAAAGGTTACTGTCATTCACTTCGGTCGCCTTTTTCAAAGTACAAAATGTCTAAGCACCTAAGCAGTACTTGCATCTGGAATGATTAATGTTTTAGACTGAAAAGTATGCGTATAATCCAAGTCTCTCTAGCCTCTTGACATATACTAAGTGACACATAAATCCGAACACCCAGTTTAAATGGTTTTATTTTAATAAAATTTTGTATAAGTATTTAATGAAGCAGAATAAGTAAATGAGTAAATAGGGTAAAAGATGGGGTTCTAGAACTTCGTGGATATAACGCTGCGCGTTCATGTTACCTCTGATGAAGACTAAAGGTGACCTGGAACCATAAGCACCCCAAACCATAACTCCAACAGTGTGATGAAACGGTCCCTTAAGGCACTTCTTTGCACTCTAACTGCAATTGCCCGAAAAGAAAGTCCAGCTTCCCGAAGTCCCACTATACGGCCCCTATCAAACTCACTAAGTTGACGAAATCGTACAGGTCTCCGTACTCTAGGCATCGTAACCGATCGTAAAGGATGACAAGAACCAAAATCCGCCAACGTTGATTCTTTACTGCGGCTGAAATATTCATTTTTAGAGCGTTAGTGAATTAAAAAAAGCAATATAAAAACCGGAATGTCCAACTGATAAGGCTGAACATTTTTTCACTTGTTATTTACAGTAAGATAAATACATTCACCAACTTTTATTGAAATAAAACCATTTAAACTGGGTGTTCGGATTTATATGTCACTTAGTATAATATAAACAAAACAAATGCCTTCGATACATCGCTATATATCCTACCCATAATCGTTAATATTTATTACCTCATCATAGGTGGAGGTGTCGGTAACATTAATTTCAATACTGTTCAAATGCCTTGATTTTTTTCTTTCTGTATGTTTCATCCTGTAAATACTGTACTGTTTATTTTATCTTAGCTATTTTTGATCAATATTCATGTTCTACTGACCGCACAGATGCAGAAGTCAAGGTTCACTTCGCTCGCCTTTTTCAAAGTACAAAATGTCTAAGCATGCTGCTTTCGTCTGTCCGACCACAGACAGCCAATTATGAACAGGTGTTTTGTGCTGTTTTACAACCCATTAACATGGTCTAGGCTTGATCTCTGGGATGACGAACGAAAGCATAGCAGCTATCCAAAATTCTAGGGATGAGATCTATAGAAATAAGACAGCACAAAGTGCTATCTATTACCATAATCGAACACTGGAAGAGTGCATAGCAACAGTCGGTAAAGATCTCAGTTTTCTTTCGATAGCGCAGTCACCACTGTGACCGCTAAAGGCTGGCGATTCTGGCGATATACTAGGTGTGGTCAATATTGAACAACTACACGTGCTGCTTTCGTCCATCTGTTACCACAGACAGCCAACCATGTTCATCTGTTTCATGCTTTTGGGCAACTCATCAGCATGGTGTAGGCTTGGTCTCTGGGAGAAGCATAGCAACCGTCCTCTATCAGAGGAATGATGTCTATCGAAATGACAGCAGAAAGCGTCATCTACAGATTTACTATACCTCTAGAATCCGCAGCCTGTAGCTGCCATAGCGGTTTACATTTCCAACCGACAGCTGCTATTCACTCTTGCTGTTTTCGATTCTGGTAATAGATGTCGCTTTGTGTTGTGTTATTTCGATACAAAATGTCGTTATTGTAGAAGATATGAACACTATGGTATTATGCAAATGGAATCGTTTAGTGAAGGTAACATGCTGTGAGCATAAACACAAATCTGACAAGCTGATTAAAGGATTTAGGTACTTTCTGCATTTCAGCTGCATTATGTCTAATTGTAGTTTTTGTATACCGAACAATACTGCACGAATAAAGCGTAATAGTAATTACATATCAAAAAGTAATTATTTTCTTAACACCTCTGACATGCTCATAGGGGTTTTATTTTCAATCATAGGCGTACAGCAGATTTTCAGATTTCTCCACAACGTTGAATATAATTTCAATGCGTTTTCTTGACGTTTTGCCGTAGCTTGAGACAAGGTTTGGTGGACTCACATTTCCAAAAATCTTTGAGTTTTATAGCAATGTTAGTAATATTTACACTTTCTGAAAAGGTACAGATGAATAATATATATATATATATATATATATATATATATATATATATATATGGCGAGTTTCTGCAACCTAAGGTCGCTTCTCGCAACCCATACGCCATCGTATCCTATCGTTCCAGTCTCCTTCATGTAGTCCTCTACTTTCCATTGCGGTATGGATGTTTGAAATCCATTTCCTTCGTGGTCTTCCTCGTTTATTTCTTTGTGCTGGTGTCTATTTCCAAACCCTTAATGGTATCCTTTCTTCGTTCATTCGTTGCAGGTGTCCATACCAATTTAACTGCCTCTCTGTTATATCGTCCATTATTGTATTTTCGACTTCCATTCGTTCTCTGATGGTCTCATTTCTAACATGGTCAAGTAAAGTTAAACCGGAACATCTTCTCCAGTACATCATTTCGGTTGAGAGAAGCTTTTGTGACATATTTTTATCTACAACCCACGCTTCTGACCCATACGTCAGTACTGGCTGAATCATAGCCTGATATATAATTTTTTTTGTTTTCTTTGTTAGGTTCTTACTCCACAAGATCGGATGTAGTGCTTTAATCATATTTTTTCCTTTTCCTATTTTCCTTTGTATGTCTTTATTATCCTTTCCGCTTTCATCTATTGTAACTCCTAGGTACTGGTACTGTCCGACGTTTTCTATTTTTCCACTTTTTGTTTCGATGTCTTGTCCTGTGCCTCCTATAGTCATGTATTGTGTCTTTTGTATATTTATCTCCAAACCCCATTTAGTGAATTCTTCTATAAGTTTGTTTATCATGTAAGTCATGTCTTGCTGGTCTTCTGCAAAGACTACCTGATCATCTGCAAAGAGGATTGTATACAAGTGAAAGTCCTCTAACCATATCCCCATGGGGCTGCACTTTCTTATCCACTGTTTTAAAGCGCTGCAGAGATAAATTTTAAACAGGGTTGGAGAGAGGCAGGAGCCCTGCTTAATAACACCTTTTGTTTGTGGGAAAGCCTCAGAAATTTGATTTCCGACTTTAACGACCACTTGATTTTCTCTATACATTGGTTTTACGGCGTTTATGTATTTGCTATTTATGCCTGCTTCTTTCATTGCGATCCATAATTTCTGCAAAGGGACGGAGTCGAATGCCTTGCGGAGATCTATAAAAGTAGCGTGTAGCTCCATTCCTCTTGCTAATATCTTTTCTGTCAGTTGTTTTATTGTAAATATGTTGTCGACACAGGATCGCCCAGGTCGAAATCCACTTTGTTCTTCAATTTCCGTGGCTTCGTCTTCTATTCGGGCTGTTAGGACTCTTTCGTACACCTTTCCGATGGACGATGTAATACTAATACCCCGATAATTACTACAGTCACTCCTGTTTCCCTTTTTATAAATGGAATTTATGTAAGAGCTCCTCCAATCTCTGGGAATCGTTTCCCCTTCCAGGCACTTGTTAAAAATTACACAAAGTAGCTCGTGCGTTCTTGTGATGGCGTGTTTAATTAACTCGATAGGCAAATCCCCCGGTCCCGGAGCTTTATTATTTTTCATTTTTTGTAATGCTGTTACAGATGAATAAACTTCTGTATTTTCTTGCATTTTTGAGTCCAGCTAGTGGACAAAAGTTCTCGATCGAAGTACGAGGGTAATCCCAAAAGTAAAGTCCCCCATCCTTTTCAAGTACAAAAGCTACCTATTTCTAGTAATTGATACATCACTACAAAGTTTAGGTATTGTATTGGTCTATTTTCTTACAAAATCGCCATTCGAGTCGATAGATTTTTGTATAAGTTGCGACAATTTTTGTATGCCATATCATACTAGCACACCGAGCGGTTTCTTATTTATTTATTTTTATTGGCATTAGGACACAAAGAGTCTATGCTGCCAGTCGCAATATAAATAGTAATATTAATAATAAGGAATCATAATAACGACCTATATTTACCTATAAAAGGCGGGTATGCGCTTCTTATCAAGGGGCCCATCATGGCACTTTTCTTATACAAGCAAAACGGGCCACGGTAAGGGGATTTCAACACAAAAGATAAAACACGGGGACAGCGATTGATAACATCAATACGTATATTGGCCTCCTCAACAAATTTAACAATGCTATGGAATATATTGACAGAGCTCGTGGGCAAAACTGTAGGGAGAGCAGATACCAACAGTCCCCAGTCTATGTAAGAATCGCTTACGTTCTTCGTGATATCTTCGATACGAGTATTAAAAAAAATTATGATCCAAAGTTGCAGGTGTATTACATTATTCGCAGGCATCCGAGTCAGTTATTTACAAACTTGCTAACAGTGCAAGATTTGTACCAGCGCATAGACTTTTAAACCATGGTTTGGATGGAATCGTTTCTTGCACTTGACAGTACTATCTGAAACATATCCATAGCTATGAAATGTTGAAAACAAAATACTGTCAAAGTATGAGATGACAACTTGTCATTGAAACATCACCAGCTTATTGAATATTAAGAAATTACATATAATTGAGGCAAAATTTTAAGAAATGTTTGTTTTTGGAATTAAATTCATGTTTTAATTACGATTGTTGATTTTTATCCATGTTTATATTAATTTCTTCAATTGATATGTGATACTGGGTGTTTCTTCCTATAAACCTCTTGCAGATAGCCATTAAGCACCTACTTGATGACAGGCTCTACCAAAAGTTTTATAGATATTGCTCGTTTCGAAACATTCATTCATTTACTTGCCGTTCATCAGAACCATTATGGCACCTTAGATTGATATTCCCACAAAACCATTCAGGTTTTTCGATATCCATACATCCATAAAGTTGAATATTTTTCATTCAGGTTTTTTGATATCCATACATCCATAAAGTTGAATATTTTTCGTTGTTCAGGAACTGAACAAACATCCACACTATATTCACAGCGATTAAGTAATTCCCAAATATATGCCTTAAAGCTACCAGCAAACCTATAAAACCTGCAAAAAAACTACAAATTTGCCATATTTTTCTTTTTTCACGAGTACACATTCTAGGTTATATTTATATTAGACATTATTTGAATACAGCTGATTATTGCACTTCAAGGAGTAACACATCTGTGGGATCTGTCAACTCTTGGTACCAGTCACAAAACATATAAACTCTGAAGATTTAATTCCATGCTATTCAATCACAACACGGTGACTTGTGTGGTTGTCAGCGGCCATTTTGTGAGGGTGCGACAGGGTTGCCAGATTGTGCATTAATATCCCGTTTCACCCTCCTGGTCCCAGTGGAGTAAGTTCCGCCAACTGTTGAAGTATACTCTACTATGCTTTATAAGACTATTTGTGACATTTTTCCCAAAATCATTGCACAACACTTGAAAAATGCAAATGAAAGTTTAAAATTATTTCCATGACGGCGCAAAATAGCTGCGTCGGTACCTTGGGTTATACATCTTGACAGTAGGGATGTTCGATAGGATCCTATATTTAGAAGTATCAATACATTTCACGAGTATCATCATCTTTCGATCCGGACCGCCAGTCAAAAACACAAACAATAAACATTACTAGTTTTGATGATTTTTGGACTTTATTTGTCAAACATTTTTCATAATTTTTTGTCTATGTCCATAGTAATTGCATTATACATCAGGGAGATGTAGGGATTGACACGTCTTACAGATATTATCTGTGTTTTAGTATGGAGAGGACATAATGTTTTTATTGCTTTGAAGAAATTCATTAACCCATAAATTAATAAATGATTACTATTATGACGTAAAGGAGGATGAGGAATTGGATGGAATGTATTTTATATTCTATTTTCTTGCAAAATACAGACAAATCCACACTATTCAACAGGTATGTAATGATAACTTTCAGTATATTGAAGTTGGTAAATTCTAGAGTGCCATGCATTAACAAACGTCCAAATCTGCTGCCAAATTTAACAGCTAGAAAATCGACCTATTATTTGCCGCATTCCCATTCGCTGAGGGGGATAACGGATTGTTAAATGTAAACCTATAACATATATCAAAATACATGAAAGTTGTCCTGTTTTTTCTGTACAAAAGCATCATGTTGGAATCAAAAAGTGGTCTTGTTTATAATACAGTCGAATTTTCACGATTTTATTCAATATTTCAATAGAAATCACTAATATTCAGAGACCTTTGACAGCTTCTGTCAAATTGCATTTCGATAAGGTATTTTCCCCTAGGGGCAAACGAGCGGTCGTACCGGCAAACTCTGAAAGTACGGGTTTGATACGGTAACGATGGAAGACAGAACCTTGGCAGATGCGGCAACATAGCGGAGAACAGTGAAGAGCAAGGCCCATTGTCATAACTGTGAATAGAGAGCAAGATCGCAGACCGATTATCGGTACGGAAGAGTCTCGAGAATGTCCGTTAGAGAAGTGTCATTGATCAGTCGGACACCACTCCTGTGGACAATATCGATTATGGACAATGTAGTCCCAAAGATGTGAGCAGAGCTTGAGGCTAGGTCTTGTCTACGCTTTGTACAGAGTGAGGATGTTATGCGGAGAAAAATACTTCTCAACCCCAAAACACATAGCTTACTTAACTTTTTCCCAGCAGCAGATTAACGAGATGTGTTCGTGGAACATCAAGTCCTCAGTGATCTGGATTCCGACCAATGAACGGCTCTTTTGTAGAACTCAGCCATCCATCGAAACCGGATGAACGCTAGGGCGTTTCTTGTTAGTCAAGGTACAGTTCTGTGTTTTGTAATCATTGAATTGAACAAGATTGTTGCGTCTCCAAGCAGTGATAACCTCGAGGTCTCTCGTCAGAGAGGAAGTCGCTGCTAGTCGGTTATTACTGCACGACATTTGTATCGACATACGAGAATAATCCAACTAATTTAGAGCAGCTGAAGAGGAATATTGTTCAGGAAAGTAACAAAATACCGAGAACAACTTTTCAACGAGTTTTCCAAAATCTACAGCTTCGGTTTCAACAGTGCCAAGCAGCCGAAGGAAGACATTTGAACAACATTATTTTTAAGCCTTAAAAATTCCTAAATTTCTACTTTTTAAAAATACATTTATTTTTCTTTTATATTGCGTAGTTATTTTTTAATTGAATATTGAAATTGACAACACCTTTCTGACCCACCCTGTAGAATGCCGTGGATCAAATTGATTGCACAGGAAAAGATTTCGTTGATATGTTATAGAAAGAATCTCGGAATCAAGGGGAACACCCGCGTTGACCTTGCGGGATGAGGGGTAGAACCCGTCAATTACGACGGATATCTTGCGACCAGGAAGAAAGTCATCCACCCATCTGCAAAGCTCTGGGAAACCGTAGGATGGAAGATTGCATAAATATCGAAGGCTTTCGTGATATCGTGAGCAACGACATGAGCCTCACCATACAACTGACTGAGTTTACAATTGCTTGGCATAAGCTAGGAGGTCCCCCTTACACCGCTGGTGCTGGAACACATACTATCCATCGCTAATCGTAATGTTCAAGGTACTCCATAAGCGCCCGATTTTCTGGCTGGTATGACATGTCACATAAAACCTGTCACCTCTGCTACAAAAGTACATCGACAATCAATTATTATGAAAACTGCTTATTCTAGTTTAAAAGAATATTCTATGTTGAAGAAAGAGTGGTCAGTCAAGATCGCAGCACTTAGCTTCCATTGATACACTTGCAGTGGCTGCTCTGCAGTTAATCATCAACCAAACCTGTTGTACGGGATGATATGGAGCTTACAGCCCCTGGTGTGAGCTAGTCCTTTCTGAGACCCCTAGTCTACTTCAATGGAATGAAAGTTTTGTTATACACGTACGAAGTAATTATTTTCCTTTGTGCATGCACTATGTATAAGCTTTAAGCGGATTTCGTGTTTCTGACGTATTCTCCTCGTAGTGAGTAGTAGTGAGGTATTTCTGACGATAAAGTAACGTATTAACAGGTGATTAATGTACAAAAGTTCCCTAACTGTTAATGACAAGCTGCTTTCCACACCTGTATTGGGAATATGGTGTCAAGAAAGTAATACGATCGATAAGACAAAACTTTTACAAATATTCGCAATAAAAATTTACAAATAACAAGAAGCCACAGAATAAGTTTCAAGTGTTACATTAACAGTAAACCGGTATAGCTACGTATAGGAGCAGTCCATTTTTTTCAAGCAGTCTGCCTCTATGCACGAAAATTTGTTTGTGTCAATTCAGACGTAAAGGCTTGTGTCCGTTTTGGCTCTGAGGTGATGTACCATCTGCTTCAGGTGTGGCATTATTGGAGCTCTTAGGCCCGTATCGTCAGTCGTCCCTACAATTATTGTAGGGCGCGTTTATGGCCTCCTTGATTGTCATACTCCTTTCTCTCCTTCAAAAATTTCTAGATTACACTTGTCCCGTGTCAACGTCAGCGCTCTCCTGTTGTGAAGATATGTTTTCTTTTTAAATTGTAGGAAATTTCAGGCTAATAAAACATGATATAACTCAAAAGCAAGCACAATTTGATGCAAATAGATGTCTGTGACATAACCTCAAAATAGAGCGCTGACACGGAGAAGTAGAAAACTATGACAAATCAAGGAGGCCATAAAGCCGCCCTACAATTGTAGGGACGACTGACGATACGGGCCTAAGCTGTAAGTTGTATACTACGAGCCCCTTCCCACTTCAGTTGGCCCAACTATTGATATCTTAGTTTTTTTCGTATCAAACACAAATAATAAAAATGTAGCAGGGTGTTATAGGTTTAAATAGGTTAAAATAAAGTTGGGATTCAAAAGTTAGCTCTCCGCATACATAACAAAAAATGGTTTAACTATTTACACAATTTCTAGGCACACACAGAAAACGTAACTGGCTCGTCTGCTATTAGTCTACTAATAAACGCAATTTGTTCTTCAAACATAGAGCTCGCATATAATAAACAGGAATAGACAAGTCTTAACATTATATATGTGCGTCATCGCATAAACGCCGAGAAATGCAACAATATGAGATGTTACGTATTGTAATTCATAAAAGTAGATGCTATTGAACATCTGTGGGTGATAGAAAAATTCTGTTTTTAGATTTGATTCAAGGGTCTCAAAATACATAAGATATACACAAAAATTGTCATGTCACAAATCCTGTGTTTGTCAGTGTAACCTGTGTTGATACTTCCCTTGGTTTCTTGTCTCAAATACACATACTTGAGATGTGTATTTCATCCTGGAAATTACAAATTTACTGAATTTAAAAAATGAGAGAGAAAAAAAGAAAATCCTTGATTCGTGAAGTATAACAGGTGAGAAAATACAGTACAGACATGAATCTTTATGAAACGTGAAAATACAAATCAGCGGCTAGATGTGAGCCACTGCAGTGTTTTGTGTGTGATGCGTCATTCCTAATTTTTCTGTGAGGTGGCACACAACGCGGAAACGGTGGTCATTTCCCGTATTGCTTTCCAGAGTTTTTGAAGACGTTAAAAAATCGTAATGTATATCAGAAAGAACAACACAAGTAACCCCACTGATGCAGCTAATAAATAAACTTCATGGGCAGTATACTAGGTAATAATTTTCTCTCACAGCAAATACCACTGATTTTATTCACATGCAGACCAATCCCACGCAATCATCCGGATGCGATCTTGCTGCAACCAATTTTCTTTCTAACATAACTCAGATATGTACTCTACAGACTTGGTATTCAGCAAATAACAAAGCATGCTGGCGAGCAGCCTTGCGCATGATCGTTGAGCTTGTCATTGAGTTATTCCTCCATGGCTGACTCTTACAGCGCTTCTAGCGAGCAAGAGAGGAATAAACTATTTGCACACTAGGAGCTATCTAATCAGCAAGTACAGATTTTGTAGTTTTTTTTACATTATATAGGTTTTTTACGTAATAACCTTGTAGTTTGCCCACTGTGCAATTTGCCTATGGAGCTTTAGCTCCACCCATGGTTCAATTAGTCACTTTGCTTACTTATTTCGAATAGCATTGATTACATAACCGCCAAAAACTGCGAAAAGAACTAACTATACGGTGGCTCCTTGTTAAAAAATATTAAAAAAAGCTCTGTAAACATTGGCCCCGAAATGCAGATAAATTTAAAAAAAATAATATATCTATTCACTCGATTTTATAAAATTTGGCAATATTATTTGCTGTAATAAGAGGCTAATTTAGCATTAAATAGAATATGCCAGTGGCGTCCAGGGAGCATCTCAGCTACTATTTTTGGCAAAAAAAATGTACTCCCCTGCCTTTTTTGTAACTTTAATATTGGTTGTTTGATTAGGCATCTAAAAATACAACTTCTTTGTACCTTGTCGTTTTTTCGTATCTCACTTCGTTTTCGAGAGAAAAAATAAAAACCGTTTTATTGCATGTCAGTGGACAAAATTGGCTTATTCATTTTTGCTATAAAAATCACAAGTGCCTTGGAAAACAAAAATAAAAAAATTAGCCAAATTTTAACAGAATGGGGTAAATATTTTTTAATATATTTATAAAGAAAAATAAAATGCATCTTGAAAACTCTGCATTGGCCCATGTTCATAGAAACATTATTCAGATTTTTTAACAAGGAATCGCCCTCTAAAATATCTCCGACTATTTTTGGAACACCCTGTACATGTGTAATATTTAAGTAAGATTTATGTTGAGTAGAACTAGAGATTTAAAATTTCCGGAAAAATTGGGTGCCGGAAAAAAACCTGTTTTTTTTTTCGGAAAAATTGAGGAAAAATACGGAAAAATTGAAATTTGTTATATACAAGATAAAAGTATTCTGGTTACTGATTTTTCCATTAATATAAATAAAACAGAAGCTTTCGGTTAATTCCCGATCACGCACAGCGACACGGCATTTCGGTTAATCCCCGTATTCCTGAATTGTTCAGTTGAGAATGAGATTCTTCAATATTGACACGTCTTTTATTTTGAAGCACGCATTTTAATTTAGCCTTATGAATAATACAAAGTGAAATTTTGCTGTAATAATTGAGTGTGTTTGTTCTGAAGGTTGTTAGTGTTGTTGACCCAAGTGTTTGTTTTGCTTTCTGGTAAGTGAATATTTTATTAAATTTGGGGTTTCAGTTTCCTTGCATATTTTCCTTACGTTTCTTTGTTACTAATATCAAGATTCAGTAATAATAATTATTATCTGTATACTCGTTAAATTACAAGAATTTGATCAGTTGATAAAGTGCCGCAAGATATTTTATTTATGTATTTTTTTCTTGTTGCAGGACAATATGGTTCGACCTTCTTCAGATATTTGGCAATTATTTGATATTGAAAAAGCACATAAAAAATCCAAGGCTGTGTGTAAGTTTTGCTGTTTCAAATACGCCTTTTAAAACGCAATTCGCATGACGAATCATATATTAAACCAATGTTCAAAATGTCCTTTGGAAATTAAACAAAAATATGGCAATGAAATACAATCGAGTTCGAAGTCTTCGACGTCAGAAGAAAAAAAAAGTAACAAAGATATCCTGCTAGAAGCACTAGAAGATATCAGTCTCCCTTCAACTAGCAAAAAGGACACGTCATCAATGTCATCATCTTCCGAATCTCCATTACCATCAGTAAAACGCATGAAAGCTAGCTGCCAACAAACATTGAGCGGGTTTTTCGATAAGATAGCTGTTTCAGAGTCTTCTAAAATTGATGAGGCATTAGCTAGGGCTCTTTATGCTTCTGGTGCTCCTTTTTCTCTTTTCAGAAATAAATATTGGGAACAGGTTTTCAAAATGTTAAGACCGTCATACCAAATACCTAGCCCTTACGCCCTGTCAACAAACTTACTTAAGTCAAAAGCTTTCTGAATCCGATAGTTTATCAATAGTAACAGATAGTTGGACAAATATAGTCGGAGATGGATTAATCAATATTGTTATATGCACGCCTATACCTTTATTTTACAAAACTGTTCATCGTGGCACTGCAAAAGAAGCGGGAACGTATATAAGTAATGAACTTATCAAAGTTATTCAAGAAATAGGGCCACAAATTTTTTTTTTAAATAGTGACTGACAATGCGAGCAATATGAAAGCTGCTTGGCATATTATAAATACAACATATCCTCATATATCTTGTGTTGGTTGTGCGGCTCACACTCTGAATTTGCTACTAAAGGACTTTATGAAAGAAAATTTGTTTGAAAAAATAAGCAGACTCTAAAAAAATTTGTAAATATTTTAAACAGCACCACATACTTTATGCTGCATTTAAAGAAGCACAGGCCGAAAAATACCCAAAAAATAAAGTAATTTCCCTCAATTTACCTGCAAAAACAAGATGGGGTTCTCTGTTTATAACTGTTGATTCGCTTTTAAGAAACAAGGAAGCTCTGCAATGTACTGTATTAGTGGAAAACCTGAATGTGAACAAAATATTAAAAAAGTCTTTAAGTATATAAAAGATACAATATTAGATATTTCCCAACAAGTTGATCTGACTAGTTCTCTTATCGAAAGCTTGCTAAAATATGTTGAAGAACGCTACGAATTTTGTTCTAAGCCAATTCACTTTGCAGCCAATCTTCTTGATGCTCGCTTTAAAGGAGAACAATTGAATGAACACCAACTAATGGAAGCAATAGACTTCAATTCTGAAATGTCTCGTTCACTAAATCTAGATGTAGGGAAGGTGGTGGCAAATCTAGCCCAATTTAGAACAAAAACTGGATTTTTTAGTCGAAATTCTTTATGGGATAGTGCGAATAACACTCATCCTGCCACGCAGCCACTTATGCCAATTGCCTCCCGAATTTAAAATGGACCGCCATCTTCCGCCTCTTCAGAAAGAAACTGGTCTTTACACGGCCTCATACATACAAGCAAAAGAAATAGATCATCACAGGATAAAATTCAGAAACTGGTTGCTATTCATTCTAATTTGGTTATAAACGAAAAACAGACATTCATTAACGATGCTAGACCAGTTCCACTTTTAGAAAACACTGGCAAAGATTATGCTGTTTTGTCCGTCCATGAAGACGAAGCGGAGATCGATTCTGAATCAGATGCTTGGCCTGAAGATTCAAACTCAGACTCAGATGAAAATATACCTCTGAGCGATATCGTTAAATAATGTTTTCTACCTTTGAAGCTTTGTTTTTGATACTTTCAATTATTAGGTAATAATTATAATTTGACCCTATATACATGTATGTATTTATATCTTAGATAATAGATATTATTAAACAATGGTTTTTGTATTTATATTTACAAAATATGTTTAAAAAACTTTAAAATTGGTACCTATTTTTTACGTTTCAAGTCACAATTAAAACATATTTAAATTTTCCCGTTTTTCCAATTTTTCCCATGGTCTGGAAAAAAACGGAAAAAACGTGTTTTTTTTCCTATTTTTTCCCGTTTTTTGTTACTTCTTACGTCACTGAACGAGGACGTATTGTAATCGTGAGTAATTTACAAAATTACATATTGTGTTTTTTGTGTGTTATATGACATGTACGTCACGAAAAACAATGCCACTCATTCGTGTCGGTCTGACGCTAGCTACAATGCCAAGAATGAAAAAAGTATCTAGTTTTTGAAAGTTGGTCCAGTGGCGGCGGAGTAAAAAACAAAACGAAAAAATAAAAATTGCTCAAACTTTTGTGGGGGTTGCAATTCAGTGGTTGGGTCTTGTAGGTGGATGAGTAGGGTATGTGATTTTTTTTAGATTTTAGTACAGTACAGTACATATGCCTCTAAAACTTAGAATGATAGAGAAACGTTTTTGATCCGCGTACTTCTGATATCTAAGCTCACCACCCGGCGAACCGATCCGACTGACTAATCTATTCGCACTGAAGCACAAAAACATACATATGTATACGTACTCGGTACCACCCTCGAAAGGAACGATAACTCGCTGCAGCGATGCCGCGCAGATGAGGAAGGGAACAACGTTGCCAAATGAAGAGTAACTACCAGTAGGGCAGGGAAAGAATGTCTATGGACAAATTGTATGGGTCTGTTTGACTGACTTATGGCGAATTTCACCAGGATTGTCAAATCAACAGTCCGTTATTCTCCACCTATAGGGTAACAGATCGTCAGATACAGCGAATGAGCTTCAAGTTCCAGTCAAGAAATTTTAGCAACCAATAGCTATGAAATGTTGAAAACAAAATACTGTCAAAGTATGAGATGGCAGCTTGTCATTTAAACATCACCAGCTTATTGAATATTAAGAAATTACAAAAAAATTAGGTAAAATTTAAAAAAGTGTTCGATTTTTGAATAAAATTCATGTTTTTATTTGATGTTGTCAATTGTTTATTCATTTTTATATTATCTTCTTCAATTGATATGCGGTTTTACTGATTCCGGACATCTACCGTGTGTTCTTTTCCTATAAACCTCTTGCAGATAGCCACTAAGCGCCTACGAGTACTTGATGACAGGCTCTACCAAAAGTTTCATAGATATTGCTCGTTTCCAAACATTCATTCATTTATTCATTATAGCACCGTCGATTGATATTCCCACAAAACCATTCAGGATTTTTGATATCCATACATCCATAGTCAAATATTTTTTGGCTGTTCAGGAACTGAAATAGCTCCGTCGGTACCTCGGGTTATACATCTTGACAGTAGGGATGTTCGATACGATCCTATATTGAGAAGTATCGACACCTTTCACGAGTATCGTCATTTTTCGATCCGGACTGTGACAGAAAGAGTGACTAACTTCAGATTACTTTTCTTCTTTGTTTCCTTCCGCTGGATATCGATAATTTTATTCCAATATTTTAGAGTATCGATACTTCCTAAAACGATAAGAATCGATATATAAGCATACTTTTCGTGGATCTAAACATCCCTAATCTTGACAGCTTGTCGTTCTTGTCAACTGGGCTGCAGGGTGCAGTGTTGCCTTTACTATCTTACATTTTGCTAAAGTCTTATGACAAATAAAAGCTTCAAATGAAATATTGACGAATATGAACGGATATGCATAGAATTTAGGATATAAATTCATATTGCAAATTTCAGATTGTCTATGCATGGACTTGATCCGGATTTTTCGGTATTTCTACCGAAAAGAGAATATTCACCGATAACATCATTCCCAACGATTTTCCAAAATAATTTAAATATTTCTATACTTGCCGAAAAAGAGCTGAAACCAAAAATAGAGCTAAAAGTTAATTTTATGTAATCTTCATAGTTTTATACCCCATACAAATCATACATATGCATACACACTCAGGCAGCCGGGCACATGAGAGGCGTAGATTGGGGTTGCCTATGATTACGAACGGACATCCTCATCCCTTACTCCGCTTGCCCTGAGTTGATTTTTGCGCATACAAAAGATACAGACTGGTAGATTACCGTCATTACCTCATCACCGAACAAGCAATAAAGAAACCGAAACCTGTCTGTTTTCAAAATAAATATTCAATTAAAATGAAAGGTGAGTTCATGAGTACAGGGGTAAAACAGAAAAATATTCACAATCCTATAAGCAAGAATCGAAAAAGGGGTTTCCAGAATGGTTGCAAAGTACTTTGAAAGAGCGACCGGTATGCACATTGTAGAAGTTGTAATATAGAACTATACCCTCAAAAAACATGTTGTGGCGCCCCTATTACAATAACAGACGTTTTTTATGACTCAAAAGTCGTTGATCTACCGCTGATCTTGGGACGGCATTTTCCTTATACCGAATTCAATGACACTATTTACCGATTCCGTTTTTTTGCCGGTTCGGCAACACTGCAGATATGGAGATCACTTCAAAAGCAATTGATATCCCAGACGTGTTATAATAATAGAAATAACAAGAAAATATAACTGTTGGGGGATATGTTTTTATAAATAGGTATTTTTGATTCCTTACTGATAATATCTAGACGATGAATAATAGGTAGATGCGGATACTTTTACAAATATCGACGTTTTAGGACCCAGAAATGCAGAATGTGCTGTTTGTTTACATTTGGTGTGGAGTTCTAGATCATAAATTGACAAAAATGTTTTTGATGTAAGAAATATGATGCACCAGTTGGAATAAGTTTTATATCCTTTTTTTGCAAAATAATAAAAATCGATACATTTCTACAGGTAGGTATTATGTACAATACCCTGTACGTGATAAACAGACAAAACTAGATTGCCATGCATGAACAGTCGTCAAAAACAGTGAAAACGTCATACCGAATATAATAGCTAGAAAATCGATCTATTATTTGTCTCATTTTCATTGATCCATTCAAATAATTGACTGTCTTTTCTGAAATGATAAAAATTTGAAATATAAAAGTTATCCTAATTCTAAGGCACAAAGACATAATATTACATCTATAATGTAACCTTTTTAAGAGTCAACCGTTTTTTCACGACTTTATTCAACATTTCAGAGAACTTTGACTGCTTCCGTCAAATTACATTTCGATAAGGTCTTTTCCTATTGGTTCAACTGACCGTAAAATATTAATGTTGCTGAAATTGGCCCTTAATCCATTTAATTTTTCTGTTATACATGTTTGTAAGGTTTATTCTCTGAGGATTTAAATTGTGCTGAACTTTATCCCTCACGAACTGGTGACGACGTTACGTAGCAAGTGTAGACGCAACCTATTTCACGCCATTTTCAATCATTCGTATGAATTTAATAATAAAACACGAGTAATCGAAAAAAATGCTAAATACTTATATTAAAAACGCTCTCACGTGGCTACATTTTTGGGAGACCCTTGACATTCGGGATATGGCCAATCCTCGTCTATAACAAGGAACTTTACAGCCGCATAATTTTATAACACCTACTTTTTCACTAAAATATTCAAAACCCTCATAAAACTATAGAGCTATTCACACCATCCTTACATATATTAAGTTGAGAGAACACGCTGTAAACCACAGTATGCGGACTACGAATAGTTAGGCTACTGAACCTTTCATGTTCAAACTTCTTGAGCGATGTTAACAAATTTCCTAGAAATGGGACTTTTTTAGCGACGGACAGTCTCGGCGAAGCGGTTGTTTTAACAGAAGGGGTCTCTTGTTTCTCTTCGCTGCTCAAAATAGTTACCCATGTGTCTGGCTCTAACCACATCATGCCAGAAGTCGACATCAAGTCGGAAACGGGGGTTAGGCCAAGTCATAATAGTCATTAGAGAAATATTAAAAAAATCTAAGGCGCGTACTTCTACATTATTACAAATTTCAATTATTTCTTAGACGGAGTGTCGGACAGTGGCATTCTATGTAGTGACAGCAAGACAGATAGTAACGTCTGCCAGGGTGTCAAGATAGGGTAAAAGATGGGGTTCTAGAACTTCGTGGATATAACGTTGCGCGTTCATGTTACCTCTGATGAAGATTAAAGGTGACCTGGAACCATAAGCTATAGCACCCCAAACCATAACTCCAACAGTGTGATGAACATGTCTTTCAACAAAAAACTGTGGATTCCTCCTTTCACCACGTCGCCTTCTAACCCTGGCACGATCATCGTGCATGCCTAAACAAAATCGAGACTCGTCACTAAAGACAATACTGTTCCATTCCTGATCCCAGAGTGACCGTTGTCTGCACCACTCAAGGCGATTAAGTCGGTGTTCTCGAGTTAAAGGGAGGACCCAGTGTGGCCGGTATGAAAACAAGCCAAAACTTCTCATTCGTCGGTAAACACTTCGCATGCCAATAGGTCTTCCGTGTTCTGCAAACCATTCATTTGCAATGGACCTGGTAGTGGAGAAACGGTCCCTTAAGGCCAATAATCTTAGACTAACTGCAATTGCCCGAAAAGAAAGTCCAGCTTCCCGAAGTCCCACTATACGGCCCCTATCAAACTCACTAAGTTGACGAAATCGTACAGGTCTCCGTACTCTAGGCATTGTAACCGATCGTAAAGGATGTCAAGAACCAAAATCCGCCAACGTTGATTCTTTACTGCGGCTGAAATATTCATTTTTAGAGCGTTAGTGAATTAAACAAAAGCAGTATAAAAACCGGAATGTCCAACTGATAAGGCTGAAAATTTGTTCACTTGTTATTTACAGTAAGATAAATACATTCAACTTTTATTAAAATAAAACCATTTAAACTGGGTGTTCGGATTTATATG